GAACTCAGCCAGAAATTAAACCCAAATTTCACCTCTTCCTGGTTAACTGAAATATGCTTTTCTTTGCGATTTTGGCCTTTTGAAAAGGAAAGCAGGAATACCAAAGCAAAGCTGAGAAGTCCCAAGGGAAGCGGGACGTACACTTAACGGTGTGAGAGCAGCAGGTGCTCACGTAGCTTAGCTGCTAGAAGACCCAGCAGTAAGTCAGATCCTTGCTTACACTATGAGTAACTGTCCAGATGGCCAGTGCAGATACCCAGTAGCTGCTCGTGTTCCTGGGAGGGAGCTGGGAATGCTCATGGTGCCCTTCCTGTGCACGTCACATCCCAGAGCTCCTGTAACTCAAACCAAAGACTTTTATCCCGCGTAAGCACTAAAGGGAAACAAATTGTACCTACAGAGAAATCAGAGCAAAGATCCCCCTCGCAGGGACACCGGAGACACTCTGCTGCTGTCCAGGAAAGGTTCCTCCAGCAGCCATCGCGTTGGGGACACTCGGCTGCCCGAGGTGTGTGCCTGGGAGCTGCCTTACCCCGCTCCTTGGGGCAGTTCTGCTCCAGCCGCAGCCTCCCTTTGCCCAGCGCATTGCGCACCCTCCTGTGACGCCCTGTCACCTCCATGGCTTGCTGCCCTTGCCGGTGATGGGGTGCAAAGTGAATCCTCAGGAGGTGATGACATTTGGTGACATTTTCCTATAGCCCTACGCCAGTATCCTGCTGTGTGCTGGGCTGCCCGTGGAACCTCCTCATGCTGAGAAGTCTGTTGCATTGACCAATTTTAACCTCTTTAAAAGGTAAGGTTTTACATTTATACATGAATATATTTATTTAAATACTCTTAATATTTACAATGGCTGTTTCTGCTAAAAATTATGTTACATGTACCAGGGGAAAAAGGATGAAACACAAATACAGTAAGGTGACATTCAGGGTGAGACAGAAATCACAAAAGCAAGGGTGTGAGAGTTCAGGCTTCCAGGGTGTGCAGCTCCTGCTCCCTGTCTACTGCAGAAGTCCCCTAAATTCCCTTAGTGGGAAACCACGCTAGTTTTCTACGTGGAAAACTATTGTAACAGACGTAGAGTTAAATCCTAACCTGAATTAGTTGTAAGAAAATAAAAGTACATACTACTACTACGAATATTAACTACTTCCTGTATATAGCGCCTTTAATTTGAAGGTCTGAAAGTGCTTATAAATAATGAACTAACCCCCCCGCGAGGTAGGTAAGTATTATTATCCCTATTTTACAGATGGGGAAACTGAGGCATTAGGCTAAGTGACTTGCCCAAGGTCACAGGTGAGTCAGTGGCAGAGCTGGGAATAGACCTCAGAGACCCTGTTCTCTGCTCCCGTGCTCTGGCGCTGTGCGTGCTTCCTCCGCAGGGACCACGTACACAACTGCTCCAGTATTTACATATGTACCAGGGGGTGAATCGTATACAAATGCAATTATTCAAATAGTCTGCAGAGATATCAGTTAATTTCTTGTTTCTGAAACAACTTCTTTAATCTCTGACCTGAGTACAAACACCTCCTAGCTCTATTTGATATTCTTAGCCCTGGATATTATTTGTTAAATTTTTAATTGGTGATCGTTTGTAGGTGTGCTGCTTTAAAAAGCCAAGTGAAAATGAGAAATAAAGCAACTTCAAGAGCAAGAAAGCTAAAGAAAGGGCAAGCGGTTGAGATCTGTTATTCCCAATTCCAAATTCCTTGCATATGTATGAGGGTGTTCCTGAAGCCCCCAGAATAAAGGCCGGGCATGTGCCAGTTGGAGCGCAGCTGTGCGTCTCAACCCCAGCCAAGGAAAAGTTGAGCTCCACACAGGAGGAGCTCGAGGTGTCCCATCCGCTGCTCCCCTGGCTGCTTGCACAGACAGCACAGGAGTAGTTCACGTCTCTCTTGAAGGAAAGAATAACTTTCACTGAAACATGTTTGCTTTTTGAGCAACTCAAAATGGAGAAATGCTAGTGAAATCTCAAATACTGTGGCTGCGAGTTCAAAAAAAATAGGTTTTGCTTGTAAAATGTATTTTTCACAAGACACTTTAATTTTCCTCCCCTGAAGCTCCTGTTTTAGAGTAGTAATAATAATAATAATTCACCAGCTGCTATAAAGTCTATTGCTACCAAAGGGGATGCATAGATGCAGTCAAACAGAATTTTGCCTGTTCGGGGACTGATCTGACAGTTTTGCAAACTCCTGGCCACAGGTATTAAGCACAGCCAAATCAAATCTGTGTGTCAAATTCCAAAGTCAGCTCAAACCAGCTCATAGCTGGGAACTAGGAAGTATCTGAGTCATGAAACAAATCCCAGGGGAGCCCGAGCCAAGCAGCCATCTGACGTACCTCTCACCTTTAGCATTATGTTATGGAGAGGTTTTTGCAGAGTGCGTTATCCATTGTGCCTTTCCCAAGTGGCAGTTCCTACCCCTGCCCTTTCAGGACACAGCAGGGGACCATGACTCACACAGTTTGCACAGAAGGGATTTATGCTGCCCGGTGTCATTTTCACATTTTTCGGGGGCCACCACTGCAGAGTTAATTGCGTTTCATTTTGTTATTTGTACCCGCTAATGTGGTGCTGCGTGTGAGTGACACAAGATAATCATCACCGGCAGCAGCGTGCATGCTCTCGTGGAAAACGTAAAAGCCTTTGTGCTCTCCAAGAATACGAACGTAGCTTCTCCCCCAGCCTCAACTCAGTCGATGTAATCTGCGTAATCATACCTGAATTGTTTTCATTCTTGCTCCTTACACAGGAAATACCAGAAAGACTTGCTGGCCCCAGGTCCAGCAGAGTTCCTAAGCTGCAGGGTGGTTAGGTGAGGCACAGAATGATGCCAGCCCTTTCCTTCAGCCCCCTGTAGCAGCTCTTGCTGATGTTCATCTGTCCAGTTTGGTTTCTTGAACTGTTCGGCTTTTCTTGGGAGCTGCTTTGAGAGTTGGTTTTGACTGCAGCTCTCGCCTAGCCAGGGATTTGCCTTTTAAAGGACAGGGGGGCTGGATTTCTTCAGGAATTATCAGCAAGCTGCTGCTGACCCCCAGGTTTTGCAAATCTCCCTGTGTAGCCCCAAAGTCGCTTTGCTCAGCCTTTCGTAAAGGAAGAGGAGAAGTTTTCAAAGACAACGCTAACCCTGCAATTCATACAAGAGCCTGCAATCTGTCAATAGGAAAACGCTTTTCACTCTGTCTTAACTCCAGGACCTGTCTGCATCGTTCCCGTTTCTCTTGGATGGAGGTGTGCTCCCTCACGACCTTTAGGTAACGCTCTGGAGGTGCCCCAAGGGACCCGTACAAGAGGAGGGAGCCAGGTTTAAAACTCGGGCAGAGCATCCAGCTGCAGCCATCCCCGCATCTCCTCTGCTGTGGTGAGAAATCCCTCTCCTCCGGCCCCTCCATGCTGCCACCAGAGCTGCTCCTGCCCCGTGCTGGTAAAATATGACCAGTGCCAGAGGTCGGTGCGGATTTTCCAGCACGATGCTTTTACAAATGCAGTTCACAGCCCAGCTCCCAGAGGAGGTGATTTTTGGCAGCCACCCTTGGGGTATGCTCCAGCTCGTGTAACCTCTCCGGGGACCAGAGCCCTCGGCGTGACCGCAGGAGCGCAGCAGCGATGCTCTGCCATATGGGAAGGTCGTTTCTCAGCTCTGGGTCGGGATTTGCTTCCTCCCAGAAAGCAGCTGACTAATAACAGCTCTGCAGCGGTGGGAAGTGTGCGCCAATCATTTGTGTTTCTTAGCAACACCACAGAAGAAAGTTCAAGTATCACATTGTTTTAAAAAAAAAAAAAAAATCAGTTAAAAATACAACCATTTTGCCCTTGATGGGGTTGTCTTCTCCCCTCTCTGCTGCTCCTTAGGACAAAAGCAGGGACACCACCACAGCTGGGGAAATAAGAGAACATCTCCAGCTGCAGTCCTTTTGGTTGCGCCTTAGAAAAGGAGCTGCAGAGACTTTCCAGGCTGCCAGGCGCAGTCTGAGCTGCTCTGGCTTGGGTCGCTTTTCAGAAACGCGGCTCCCAGGCCCAGAGATGCTGTCTCTTAGCGCTTGCCGTACACCAGGAGGATGGTTCTCTTCCCAAAGCCTGACATCCGTGGGAGAGGCAGGAAAAAGCAAATGCAGCAGTGGAAGTAGGATTAGGAATTTCAGAAAACAGGTACGGCTCCAGGGGTGGGGTGTAAGGGCGAGGCTCAGGGCTGGGTTTTGGTTCAGCCCGTTGGAAATCTGGGAACCACACTGAGGTTTGAGTTTCAAGCAGCCACAGCTGGTTTGGGGTCAGTTCATCTACACAGGTGCTGGCTTCCACTGTCAGCCTAACTGGAAGGTCATCCTGCTCCCTACAGGGGGAATTTCTTATGGGAATTAGGTAAATAAGCAACTCATTACATGTTCTAGCTGGGTGATCAAAGAGGGCTCTTATTCAGTAACAATTTACGATATTAATATAATAAACAACCTGAAAAAACACACACAACCAAAAGAATCAGAGGTTGTATTGCTTAAAGAAAACAAAAAGCCAGTTATAAGTTGAAACCCTTTCTAAAAAGGTTTTTAAATAGCCTCCTGCTAAGCCCCTGCTCAGCAGCTGGTTGTGTTGATGAGGAAGATTAAGCAGGATGCGGAGTCGATGGTGTTGGGTAGCAGCAGTGATAACCCAGTGGCAGTGGGATGATGGTGAGAGCACTGGAGAAATCCTTTATGAGGTCACCAGCCTGACTGAAGTCAGTGGGGTTTGAAGACTAAGACTGCATCTGAAGGGATTTCTGTGGTTTATAGTGACCTTATAAATGGTGAAACCTTTAGTTTGGGAGTGTGACTGTAAAAAAAGTAAATTAAAAAAGGTGCAGATGGCTATAAAATAGGCAAACATAAGTAGTTTCACACTTTTTTTCCACCTGTGGACAGAAAGGAAATAAGTAATGCTGAATCAAATGAGAGCAAACAATTACAAATAATTAGCTAAAGTTTTCCAGCAAGTGTTAAGATAGCTTTACTTATAGCCGTGTTGTAACGTGATCCTCCTGCCCGTCTTTCCACTGGTTCATAAACAAGTCACAAGCCTCTCCCCATGAATCAAACACATCCTCTGACGAGTCTATAAGTTTGGAATTAGAGGAACAAATACTGGAAGCACAGTGAAGGGAGCTGGTACAAACCACAGGGCACTCCTTGCTCTGTCCCCTAAGTCTTGTGTTCCCGCTGTAGTCCACCTCATTGAGGTTAATTTCACTTTTGGAACAATTCTCTTCTTTGTCTTTATCAATCTGAGAATATTTAATGTCTTTCCACATGTAGTGTGGCTGAATAATTCCATCTGAAATAGTGTACATGGGCTCGGAGCTTGGTTCGGGCACATGTCCGTTCATCTTGGAGAAGAGCAGGCCCAGTCTCTTGAAGGACTCCTTTTTGGAGCTGGAAAGTCTCTGAACTCTATTTCCATTTCGGACGAAGGAGCGCTTACTGATCCCATTGCTTTTTGGCTTCTCTTCCACCATATTCATCCCAGACATGGTTTTAATTAGAGCAGATACGTTGAAGTCCTTTTTTTTGTTGGCTACGTTGAAAGACACACTCTTGGCTTTGGGTTTTTCTCCAGCGCCATCCTCATTTGTTTCATCCTTTTGGGACACCTCTGTGCTGCTGGTAGAATAACTTCTCCTCTGGGGCTTCCTGTTTCCTAAGAGGTCGAGAACTTCATAGCGAAAACTTGAGATGTCCTGTTTTAATTCCTAGGGTAAGAGGAGAAATGAGTTACACTCAGCAGCTTTATCTGTGACGTGAAAGAACGATCACATTCCCTTGGGGGAGCTGTTTGGAGTTACGCAAATGGCTGAGACCAAATCATCCAAGAATACCACAACCATCTTCATTATTTACTGACACACACAAAAAGAAATGTGGTGGTAGTCCTGAGAACTGGAGACCTCACACGATCTTTGTTGACAAGTTTGTGGGACTGGCCCCCATCCGTAACTCCCCCCAAAAAAAGTCAAATAAGACAATTATAGAAGAGGGGAAACACTGCTGAAATTTCAAAAAATGCTGTTTAGTTGACAGGCCCAACTTTAACTTTGTTGGTAAGTGTTCTTCGTATCCGTTAACCCAGACCCATTCTTTGGCTCTGACTGGGTTAGGATTGGGAATGTGATATTGACTCAAATCAGATACTTCACTCCTACCTGTTTCCAACGCTTTTGTCTACATAACCTATTGTGTATTAAAATCTGGGACATGATCACATGGAGAGACACTCAAACAATAATATTCTCTGCTCACACAAACCCCACATGCACACCATACCCATTCCCAGCCCCAGGAACAGTCCTATTTCTGCAGCGGGTTACAAATCCTCTTATCAAGGTAATGCAAACTCTGCAAGAGGCTGCTTGAATTAATAGAATAAATTATTATTAAGGAATAATAAATTACCTTGAAATTCTCTTCAGTTAAACCTTCGTTGGTTTTGGAAGTTCTTATCATTGCTGCGACGTATCGTTTCACAAGATTTCTTATCACTTCCTGGAACAGGAAACAACACGAGTGATTCCGCTGTGGGCTCAGCCCAAACTCTGCTCTGACTGCACTTCACCGAGTTCCTCCCGACAGCGGCGGTCCTGACTCTGCTATCTACCGTTAGAAAGAGAACGCTTTATTTTCAACCAAACAAGCCTTGGGAAAGGGTTCTGTACCTTCCACCTCGAACGCTTGGTGGTTAACTCCAGGGAGCAGGTATTTTGTGTTTGGTTTGTATAGATCAATGTCACTCAGAAAAACCCCTGGTGTTCTTCAGCGTCCTCAAGCCCTTTACCCTCAGTGCTGGAAGTTTTCCAGATTACCAATCTCGCCTATGTGCTGTGTGTCCTGCTAGGCTAAGCTTCCCTGTTGAAGATTGTTTATTGTGTTTGAAAGCCAAGGAGAGCACGTTGGCAACAAACCTGAAGAGCAGCCAGGGCCCCATGGGGCAATATACACCTTGGTGTTAAACCACAGCTGCTGGGACGTTCCCTAACGGCAGGTTAGAAACTCCTTTCAAGGCTGTGGATGGTGCGGGAGGGACTGAATCCCACCCTCGGTGCCTTCTCTACAGCCTCTCCCTCCTCTGCGTTTCTCCTCTGGGCTGTTTGCCCAGATTTTTGGCAGGATGAGATCCATTTTGCTCTGTGTTTGTGTACCTCCTTGCTGGTTTTCCATAAGCAAACTGGTCCTTTGAGCTTGTACATTTATCTGTGCCGACCAACATACACAGAGGTTGAGCTCTGTATGCAGAAGAGACCCCTCCAAACCTTCCCTTCATTCCCCCCTTTTCATAACTAGGGATAACAAGTCTGAGCAAAGATGGGCTCTGCAGCGAGGTTTTACTGGGTTTTTTCTGTTGGTACCGGTAAACTGTGCTGTGAAGTCAGAAAGTACCAAACGGCTGTTGTCAAAGGTGATTAATTATGTTAAACATCACCTTCAGATAAAGATACTCTTCAAAAAGCAGGAGATGTCTTAAGTAAGACAAATTACCAACGGCTTTTGACAGTGTCGCCTAACCTACCACCTAACATTCTGGAGAATTTTTTTCCTTCCAGCATGCTGGCATAATACATCACGCTGAATTCAAGTACTGAAGCTGGTGATTTTAATGCAGTTCCAGCCTTCTGTAGGTTGGCTTTAATGAGTACTTGATGACAGGCAGGCTGAGAATAAACAAACCCAGCAACATTCAGCAAAGGAACCATTCCTCCTTCCTGAGCTGTCCAAAACAAAAGAAAATCCCCACCGCTGTTTGAGTTAGGGGTGCTTTACAAAAGAGAGCAGCAGAGGAGCAATTCAACAGCGCGTAAAAATGATGCAGAAACAGTTTGAATCAGGATGGTGTGACAGCCTGGTCCCTCTGACGGCAGTGGGGATGTCACCTTTGACTTCAGCAGCCAGATGGATACCTGGCAGGTTTTCCACTGTTCCAGAGCGGGTGAAAGGCCAGGAGTGATTCACTAAACCATCCCACCTCTGAGGAGATGTTTTCATCCATTATAAGCACAATCCTCTTAGAGGACCTACACTTATCAAAATACATTCTAGAAGTGAGCAAGAATGGAGGTAGTAGAAAATGAGCAGGAAGAAGCAGCGGCAAGTAAAAACTTTACATACTCAAGAGTTTACCTGGTAATGTTGATTCTGAATCAGGTTGTCAGCGTGCCGCTCCTGGAAAGAGAAAGGCACAGACATGAGACCTGTTTCGTCCTGGCTTCAGGGCTCCTGATGGCTCTTAGCAAGTTAGGATCCAGCAGCCTTCTACTGCACCAGCAGAGCCATGGCCCTTGCGATCCTGAACACGCACAAGCATGAAAAATGAAATATAAAACCCTGCAGCTCCTTACTGTGAACGTTTTGAGGTTTTCATGCCTCTTCTGTTCGTTGTCGGAGTCGCTGCCCGGGCACAGCCGATTGTGGATCCACTTGCAAAGGTACCAGACTGACTTAGGGCTCGGGACAATGTTAAAAGGCGGGGGCAGAGTGGCACCTTCATCAAAGTAACTCATCCAGAGCTTCGTCCGCGCAAACTTCCACTCGATATCCGCATGGTCCTACAAGAGAAGGAAGGAGACTGTCAGCAGCTTCAGGCAGGCTTTCCCGGAGGAGATGCCCACGGCTGAGGAGGTGATGTGTGAGCACTTCTCCAGCTGCAGGCAAAGCAGCATCGCTTCTTCCATCTCCCTTGCTGGAGGTGTACTTAAAAAAAAATCGCCGTGAAATGTAGCTAGACTGTAAAAATACCAACCACCGAGAAATGAGATGATGGCAGTATTCAGCAAAAAGAATTTTGCATACTAAAGGCCAGCTTCATCCTTTCGAGGTTGTGCTTATTAGTTCGCCAATAAAAGAAGCAAGAAAACACATTTCTTATTTTGCCTTTTGCTGGCACTTTTATTATCACAAACTGTTGTTTCTCATGTCCAAATCCAATGAATTCTCACAGTTGCCCCTGGAAAAAGATCTTTCATAGTGTTTTTTGTTTTGTTTTGTTTTTATAGCTTCTATTAATTCAGCTCTTAGAAGGAAGTGACACATTTTATGCCTGCCATATTTTACATCTTGCCTCTGCATTATCCTTACACCAAACAGGAGACATTTTACTGTTGGGTTTGGGTTTTTTTTTTTTAATTTATATTATCACCATGCTCAGTGGCTGCACTCTAGTGTTTTTCATCCCAACAAAGCAGAGGTGGAAAGTTAATAGCACCATCTTACAGCTGCACAGATTGGCACATGGGCCATACAGTCCCCAGGAAAGGAATAGGAGTCTGTGTGAGACACTGACCTTACACACTGCGAAACGGTGATCCCCAAATCAGCTCTTTGTGGTCTAGTCCGTGGAGCCACCACGGAGCCACTGTCCTGCCCAGTAACAAGCTGCACGTTCCCTTCAGCTCAGGGCAGAAACATCTACCTGCAGCCTGGGTTCGGGTACCGCAGCTCTTCCAAACGGCGTTCATGCTGTCTTGTGCCAATTTAAAAGTTTAAAAATGCCACTGTTGTGTATGTTCTGCAGAAATTCTGACTTTAGACAGATGAGGGAGGGAACAGTTTGAAGCCTTCAAGCCGAGCGGTGCTGAGCACAGCTCCTGATAGCACACTGAACTGCAATGGCAAATTTGGGTATTGTTACCAGCGCGGAGCAGAGTTGGTGGTTGTGACATTTCAGCTGTTCCGCATTCACGTTAACAATATCTAACATGAGATCAAACCAAAGCCACGATGATTTAGGCTAAGTACCCGTGCAAGGCAGGAGAAAAGGACAATGCGGGGTTTTAAGTTCCTGAGATTTTAGGCAGGTTGGCACAAGCAGCCCTCTGAGTGAGGGATGCCGGGCTGCAGGGCTGCAGCTCTCAGAGCCAAGCAGTGAAGTGCAGGACAGGGAGTTTAATAAAATATGGCTGAACATCGTGCCCAAAAAATTACTACACTGGCTCTCTGGCTGCACTCCAGTGCTCTGACATGGGTAAAATACGCTCTCATTTTGACAGGGAGGTGCAGCTGAACTCCATTTTCGTGGTGTATTCACATTACGTGCAGCTCTCGATGTAAAATGACTGCCTTGGTGGCCCAGGAGCACATTAGTCTCTGCAGATGGTCTGAATCAGCCCCCGACAGTCCCCTGCCAGCTTACCCAAAGGGCTGTTTTCAGGGCACAGGTAGACTCAGAGCAGCAGCCTGCCATGCCCCTTTTTGCCTCATACATTATCAGACCCTGCAAGCGGGGAAATTGCAGCATCACCGTGAAGCACTAGAAGCTGATGCTGGTGGAAATGAAGTTCTAGGTCGTAAAAAATGCAGTTTGCAGCAGTAGAAATAATTGCCACCAAAAAAGAAAAAGTCCTGCTCATTTTTTCTTCATTTCTCTCTACCTGCAGGCTGCAGCAAGCTCAGTAGAGCTGGAGGGGAGCAGGACAAGCTGGTGCCACGCAGCTGCAGTTCCTCCTTCCCAGCCTCTGGGTTAGTGCTCTGAGCTCCACAGCCAGCCCCTGGGACAAGTCCTGCCTAAGAACCGCTCAGAGTAAAGGCAGAGCTGCCCCAGCCTCCTCCAGGAGCAGGGCTGGCTGCTCCCTCCTCATCTTCCCACCTGAACATCTCCTGGTCTGGGCAACTTCAGTTGAAAGACTCTTCAGAAGGAGGACCACAAATGACCGGCATCCTCTGCCAGGTGAGCTGACGGGGACTGCATGGGCTCTACTGGGAGCTGAGTGCAGGGGCAGGGCAGTGCTGTGAAACTTGGTGCAAATTTCTCACGGGGGAAGTTTTGTGGTTGGTCTGAACAAATCCCCGTTGGTCTCAATGTGCCCGTGGGTGAGGCGGGTGGATGCTGGCTTCAGCCCCAGCTGTGCTCTTCCTGTGCAGTCTCAGTCAGCAAGAGCCACGTAACCTCTCCTAAAAGGCAGACCCTCTGTACAAAGCTCGAAGTATCTTTTCTCTCTTTTCTGCTGCTGTGAGCTCCCCAGGGTTTACAAACTCAGCCTGTCTCAATTATTCACCTTGATGTTTTGAGAACCTGAGCAAATCAGATGAGAGCTCCTGGCAGCAGTTTTGTGTTGGAAATATATAGCAAAGAGACATTTTGATTTTATTGAGAATGTCTTTGTGTGCCAGGAAACCACCATTTTCTCGGTTAGAGCTCTCTTTAGTGCTGTAAGCCGTGAAATGTGCACACAAAACTGCAGCTTTCCTAACTCTCCTCGCCGTGTTGAGTACCAAGAGTACCGTGCTTCAGCAATCACTCCATACCCAATTCAAACCTGAAGCACTCATGAGCTACAGCATGAGCTACAGCTAGTACATCCGTCATTGCGTTGGTTGTGAACATGGCCCCGTGGACCTCCAGATGTGCTCCAGGTTTTTGGTGCATCTCCCAGTGACGGCAGGCCACCGGGCAACATTTGCATTTTTGAGAGCTGCCCAAGTCTGAGCCTGCTTTGCACCAAAGCTGTTGCAAGGATTGCGCACAGGTGAATGCTCAAAGCAAGCTCCTGAGTACCAGGACAGTGAGAGGCCAACCCGAGGGCTCTCCCCTTGCCTCGGACGGGATGCTGGAGCACGCTCCCAGGGACAGCCAGCACGGACACAACCCTGCGAGGCTGCAGTAGAAGTGGGTTTCTTAAGAGAGAGGAGAAGAGGGAGCGCGCCGCTGCGGCGAGGAGCTTCAAGCAGACCCGCTGTGCAGTGAGGGCAGGATGCTCACAGACCTGTGCTGTCTTAGTGTTCTTAGATGATGACTTTTTGGTAACATTTATTATAAGGTAACGAAATATATCCACTAGCTTTGCAAGGGTGACCTTGTTGCTTTAGGAATTTAAATCCAAGTTTGAATTTCACTGTCCTCTGTTTGAGCTTCTGTTGCTCTTGCCCTTGTTCTTGTCACCATTTTCTTTCAAGCACCGCTCATCGTTTCAGCTATAAAACGCTCTACTTCTTAAGAGGGCCGAGCCCTCCAGCTCAAAGAACACATCGACTCAAAGAAACCAGCACTCGGCTTCTCTGTGAGAAAAACTGTATCACTATCACAATGCGGATGTGTCATATTGGCCACATAAGCCTCTTGCAAATCTCTGCCATTTGAAATGAGAATTAATCTCCCATAAAGATTTCCCTGTGGGATCGCTGAAGCCATCTTACTGTGGCAGTTGTGAGGATTTTCTAATTCAGTCAAAGCGATGTATTCACAGATGTGCCAGATTTTAAATAATTACCTGCTACACTAATTATCCGGGATAATTCAAGCATTAATCTCCATCTTTATCTCTGTGTACAAAATCTGTTGTTTACATTTTGTGAAATATTTGCTATAAAGACTTCCATCCTCATCTCCTTGCTGGGCCATATGGTTTCGATCACACTTTGCCAAACACCGGCCAGCTTCTCAGCTGGGACTGACCCAGCCAGCAGAGACCCCGCAACGGCAGACGGTTGCAGTTCTCTGCATGAGATGCCTACGACTGCCGCAGCCTCTGCGTTCCTCAGCCTCATCATGGGTTTAGTATTTCAGCTCTCTTATGGCTGGAAAGCTGATGGAGGAAAGCGCTGTCACTTTTAACTTAGCACATAGGAGCTGAAGCACAGGGCTGTCCCCTGGGAAGCCTGCGGCAGCCTGATCTTGTGACTCTTTAATTAGCATCCCTGAAAGCACCGGGATAGTCCTGAGCTGACATTAGCTTGGGGCTGACAGGCTGAAAGGGACTGCGGCAGGTCCCTGTGCTCCGCGGTGTCACACCGTGGTTAGCTCTGGGTGAGGATGGTGGAGAGCCCGGTACGAACACTCAGCTCAAACCTAACGCTGAGCTGACGGTAACGCTCGGCAGCCAGGCGCTCTGAGATCTTCCAACTTTTCCACTGTAAAACAATCACAAGACAACGAGTTAGTTAAGCTCCTCTGTGCTACACAGAGATGCACGAGGGCTTCCTCTAACACGAGGGAGGAAGCGTGGTCCTGGGATGCACGTCCCCACGCCCCTTCCGAAAGAATAACATATAACTAGTGTCTTCCGCGCTGGCACAGAAAGGGCTGTGTGTGCCTTTCTTGTGGTTATTATGCAGCAGCCAGTGGGCTAAGCTGGAAACTGGGCTGCTGCCTGTCAGGTGCAGATATCGATGGCTGGGACGATGCCCTCGGGACCCAGCGGGCTGTGGCCGAGTGCCTCGGAAGGAGGCACGGGAAGCTTTCCCAATGCTGGCAGAAGCCGGTGTGATTTCTGCGTCAGGAGTAGCAGGACTGCTCTCTGCTGCTGTCCCAGGAGGTGCCAGCAGCAGCCCAACAAGAAAGTGCCCAATCCATAGTCCTTTCCCCTAGGAAGGCAGGAGGAGAGGCAGTGCTCACCTTTAAAAGGAGCTCGCTGATTTATTTTATTTGCAGCCTATTGAGTAAGGGAGGCTCATTGCCCGAGAGGCACAGGAACTTCAAAGGTGCTTTTTGGGTGTGGAATGAGCTGTGCTGCAAAGTGTAGGAGAAGTCATTAAACACTGTTTGGTATGTTTCTATCTCAGGTGCCTCTTTGTTGCTCTTTGCTAAACCCAGAGCAGGAAACAGCACAGAAAA